GGGCCCTTCCTTTTCTGCTTCCTTGACAAGCTGCTTTTTATTATAAGGAAGACCTGGGAATGTTATGGTTTTGGTCTCTTTAAGAGACAAGCCACACCCATTCCCCTCCCCATCCGCTGAGGTGGCCTGAGCTCGATTTCTTTTTCATCTTCCACTCAGAGAGGCAGCTTTGCTTCTGCCTCTCTCCCCTTCTCTGCTTCCCCCCCTTCTCTGTCTCTTTCTCCTCTCTCTCTCTCTCTCTCTCTCTCTCTCCTTCCTCCTCCATAACCCCCTGAATAAACATTCAACCTCACCCTGCATGTCATGTCTATCCATGTTTCTGTCTTCTGCCCCCACCCCCCCATGTGTCTCCCTGCCTGGGACCAGCCATTGCTCAGGGACCAGCAGCCGTCTCTGCCTGGGGCCCACTGCCTGCTGCCACATGGTCTGCCACCACTGCTCTGGGACCAGCAGCTGTCTCTGCCTGGGACTGGCTGCTCCCAGGGCCCACTGCCTGCCACCACATGGCCCACCGCCACCATTTGGGACCTACAGCATTTCTGCTGCGGGGATCTTGCAGCATTTTTTAAAAAAGAACATGGCTTGACATTTTTTTTTGAAATTACACAGAAAACAATCAGACTCGAATGGCAACAATATTTATGATGATTTATACTTTTTTTTAAAAAGATTTATTTATTTATTATATACAGTGTTCTGCCTGTATGCATACCTGCACCCCAGAAGAGGGCACCAGATCTAATCACAGACGGTTGTGAGCCACCATGTGGTTGCTGGGAATTGAACTCAGGACCTCTGGAAGAACAGTCAGTGCTTTTAACCTCTGAGCCATCTCTCCAGCCCGATTTATACTTTTTTAAAAACTCGATGTTTCCTGATTAGAAGAGTATTTACAGTAGCCAAGATTAAAAATTAAAATTAAATAATGTTCATATTTTACCAATACAAAGAAAAGTAATTCCTATTGGAGTTGTTTCCCTTTCTGATGATAAGAAATAAGACTTGGTTGTGAAAAAAAAACAACTAAAATTCTGATTTTTACCCCATCACTAATATTTGGTACATGTGAAAAAAATGATTTTATTGAAAAAGTGTTTTAAAACAAAACAGTACAAAGCCTGATTTCCTTTTTAATGTGACCTTACATTTACTGCACCAAACTAAACTTTGGTGCCGGGACAGGAAAGGGATACAGGGAAACTAGGAGAAGGAAAGGAACATTTTTCCAGGACTCCATCAGAAACTCCCTAAGACGTATATGTAACACTACTGCTTCCTGGATTTAAAAAAAAAAAAATCAGATTGTAAGGCCATCCACTGCACACCCAGAGACACCCGTATAAGTTTTCAAACGAGAAAAAGTAGTGTATTAGCAACCCTTTGAGAGACACAAAATTGGTCCACATGGCAAACACCGAGACGATTGAGTGTGATTTGTTTGAAATCCCATGTCCACCCATGCTCACGTGTTTTTTTCTTTTTTTTGAGAGCCCCACTTTATTTTCGCTCTTGTGCTTCAAATCCACGTTTAAGATGACTTAAGCTCCATCTCTGCAACATACTGGTTTGCCCTAAGAGCCTTTTTTTAAACTAAACTTTCCTTTATTTTTTGTGTCTTTCACATCATGCATCTCCATCCCGTTCATTTCCCTTGCAACCTCCACCGCAAAGGTAAAAAAAAAAAAAAAAAAAAAAAAAGCTTTAGAGGAAAAAAAAAGAGAAAAAAGAAAAAAAAACAAAAAAAATTCTTGTCTGGGAAGCGCACTGGGTCACACAGTAAACCCTTTTATCCATAGATCTTTTTTTATTTTGTTTATTTATTTATTTTTTTTTGTTTAGCTCTTGTAGACCAGGCTAGTCTTGAACTCACAGAGATCCGCCTGCCTCTGCCTCCCAAGTGCTGGGATTAAAGGCGTGCGCCACCACTGCCCGGCTATCCATAGATCCTTATGTGCAAGGGTTCTGAGTCGTTGGTCTGGTTTGAGTTCCCTGGTTTCTGTTACACTGTTGACACAGGCCCTTCAGTGGGACTCCTCTTGGATATCCTGCTGTTACCTGTATTGAGGAGACCCTGCAGCTTTGGGTCTGCAGGACCGGTCCCTTCATGCGCTCCAGCAGATCACAGATGGGGTGGATGTTGGGGTGGTCGGATTCATTACCCCGGTTCTGGGCCTGGGTCGTTGCACAGTTGGTCAGCGCGCCGGCTCTCCCCCATTCTCACCACCAGGGTGCGCTCTCCAGCACTGCCCAAGCTAATTCACCCTTTGCAGCCCTGAGCAAATGGTTTTATTAAAAAAGTGGTTTTTTGTTTATGTGAAAAACTTTTGTATTCTGAAAGGAAAATGAAATCATTAAATTCACAGGTAAATTTATGGAACTAGATAAAACCATCCTGAGATGTTGGGAGCTGTATGATCTAGTTTCAGATCAGCATGTAAATGCTTGTTTGATGGATCTTCACAAGGCAAAGCCCATAGGGATAGTCTCTCACTCAACGAGGACCAGCAGACCTTGGGACAGATTACTGCGGGGACCGCGTGGCCTACACTCTCTTCTCTCTCATAATACTGAAGATCCTAAGTCAATGATAACCAAGATACAATCTGTAGTATCACAGAGGTTACGTATAGAGCAAGTGGCTGGTGGAACAGATAGATCTTGTTAGGAACGAGAAATAGAATTGGTAGTTATGGATGGACTATAGGGCTGTGGAATGGAAGTGTCAAGTGGGAAGGGAAAGGAGAGAGGGAGACGAAGAGAAAACAGGGAGAGACAGTTAAGGGCCATTTGAGAGGTGGTATGGAAACCTAACACTGTAGAAACTTCTGTATTTTAATACAGACTTATATGAAGATGATCTAAATGAAATCACCGAGTAATGGGGGAGACAGTCCACACTGGCCATCTTCCTATACACCAAATGAAGCTTCCAGCCCAGGGGTTGGGTTACATCTAATTGAAATGTTGGCCAAAAGGGGTACCTTTGGACAGTCCAGGCTGTTGCCAAGACTATAGGTTGCTCTCCACAAACTGACAGAAAGGCCCCATTCCTGAAGATAACACCTATACAACTCATTGAATATGAAGAGATTGTAGAGTGAATTCTAATTGTTCTTAATAATAAAAACTCGGAGTCAGACACGGGGCAAGATCATAGAAGTAAAACAGCTAGCCACTAAAGTTCTTACTTCCTCAAAATCCTCAGACCAAAAAGTTGAGCTGTCTCCTCCCCCTTATACTCCTCTCTCCTCTGCCCAGCCATATCACTTCCTGTCTCCACCTCCCAAACGCTGGGATTAAAGGCATAAAATCCCTAGTGCCAGGATCAAAGGTGTGAGCTCTGTTTCTCTTTTAGACTGGTTAAATCTCTGGTAGCCCAGTGTGGCCTTGGACTCCTGGTCTTCCTGCTTCCACCTCCCAAGTGCTGGAATTAAAGGTGTGTGTCACCACTGCCTGGCCTCTACGATTAACTAGTGGCTAGTTTTGCCCTCTGATCTTCAGGCAAGCTTTGTGTGTCAGAGCACAAACAAAACATCACCACAGAAGGTCAAGCTGGTGCCTAGGTACTCTTCGCTGCTGTTACAGCATCTTTGATATACAGGAAGGTTCTCTGCATTCTATCAAAGAATAAACATAAATACCAACCCAGCCAGGAACAGTTTGATTTACAGTGGTGTCCTGGTTGCAAGATAGGCTAGCTTAGTGATGGCATAAAACCTGTGGGAATAACCAACCAATATCTTATTTGACTTAAGGTCCACTCTACAAGCAAAAACAAGTGGGCATGTGTAAGAGCCAAAGTAATTTTTTTAATTACTGTGCCTAAGAGATCCATAAAACAAAATATCTCAAGCCTGCAAGCCCCTTGCCCAAGGACAGAAACTTCCAGAAATGCTGGAGGCTGTTGTTTACATAAGATAACAAGTCACGTGTTTTCAATTTCCTCTACAAATTTGGTTGACTCAACTGAACTAGATACGCTTGATCATCTGTAGGCGGGATGTACGTATTCACGAAGTAAATCAGTATGTATCCACCCCACCCCATTGGGTGAATGCAGGAAGTATGTAGCCTTGAGGGTTTGCCTTTCTAAGTGCCTGGCCAAAGTAGCTCAGGCCATTCTCTGGGAACTCTCCAATGGTCCTGGATCCCTGGCCTGTATTTAATTAAAACTTGCTTCCAATTTGGCTCAAAATGGTGGTAACGGTCTCTTTCTCACCCAGCAGGCCTAGCAAATCCTCATTTTTATCCAGTCACAACCCGTGTCTCAAGTCAGGCCCAGTCACCTGTCCTCAACGGTCAATTAAAGGAGTCAAATTAAAAGTGGAATGCAAAACAGATTTACTCAACACTGTGAAGAGAGACAGTGAAACCCAGTGAACCCCTGAGTTCATGTTTAGGGTACTGGCGGGGTTTAAGCTTAGAGCACCAAGCATATGCTCATCTATCTACTTCTACAGGAAGTAGAGTGATACAAATCAAAGTTTAGTTTTTCTCAAATTTTATAATTGCTATATATACTTAGCTATCTTAAAAACTTAAAATAGGTTCTATGATGACAGTTAGGGTAAGGCCAGCTCAGGCACTATTGCTTATTGAGTTAGCAGACACTGGGTATATTTTATTTTTTGGCTTTTCAAGACATGGTTTCTCTGTGTAGTCTAGGCTGTCCCAGAACTCAGAGATCTGTCTGCCTCTGCCTCCTGAGTGCTGGGATTAAAGGCGTGTGCCACCACTGCCAAGCTTGAGTATATTTTATTTTAACATCCACTTTTTTGCTCTGAACTAAATGACAGAACTAGTTCAGAACTATAATCAATCATGGTAAGTATGCAAGAATATATATACCTATACTATATATAATATATATTATCTATTATTAAAATATATAATATGTATTATATGTAGTCCATATCAAAATAACTGAGAAAGCAAAATTAGCATGTGAGTTTTAGTGAGTATGCTTTAAAGAGTTTTATATAGAATGTTTACCAATTTAATCACATTGTTGAACATCAAAATTTTATTCCTAATGTATGAACAATGCAAAGCTAAAACTTGCAAGAACATTCAGATTCAGAAGAAATCTGAAGAAAGTTTCAAAGTACAGTATCAATTAACGACAAATTGGTCTTTTGTATGTTATCTAGCACCATGACTTTCTTTGTTAAACAACCAATTAAACACATGAAAGGCATTGTTTATTTTTTGCTGATTTTCAAAGGTGATTCTTTGATGTTGAGTTTGTCTGCAAAAACGTGTGCTCTTCTTCCATTCTCGACGGCTGGATTTTGATGAATTTTCTCTCTAAGAAATATACATATGACTATTAATACCATTTAAAAATACTCAATGGTTTATAAGTCACTGCAAACAAGTTAAAAATCACTACAATTTAGAGTTTGATCTTAAAAGTTCCCCCAGAACTTTAGAGAAGTACTTTATTGAACATTCAAGAAGGTAGGAGCTGTTTTACCTAAGACGTACTGAACTGCTTGCAGCTTAAACGGTGTTGTTAAAAATGGTAGCCACTAGGGATATTTACCCCTAATTCAGCTCCTGAGTTGTACCACCCACATGTGAGAGGGGATTCGTGGTCAACCATGTCTAACAGTTAATATGCTGGCCAGCACACTTTATCATGTGGAAATTCACTACTGAAAATTTGAACGGATAGAACTACTAAGAGAAAATATAGCTGCTAGGGCCACAGATTATAGAACAGCCAACATGAGCTTGCTTTCTCTAACTGGGACCTAGATTTTGTGCTGAAGCTTAGCAATGTTAGATGTTTAACCATAAGTTTTCAATGTGAGACAAATATTACTGAAAAGATAGAGGCAAAATTTTAAGCCATTTAATAGAAAACATTCAGGCTCTAAATTCCTGACCAAGTACTTTCAAAGAAAATATGCCAGCATGTGGGATTCTGCACAAGGCTTCCATTTATTCAAGGCCCGTGTGTCCAGTGATGGTCCTGCATTCTCTCGGAGTCTAGAATGGATTCCTGTGTCAAGGGCTGTTGTAGTTTCTCCCAAAAACTTGAATTAACTTCAGAATATTTACTAAATGTATAAAAACACCATACATTTTAATATTCACTTTTAACAAATTAATTTTCCCAGTTTTTCCAAAAGCAATTTCAAGGAAGATAAAACTTTTTGTAAAATTTATCTAAACTATCTAGTATACATAAAAAGCACATCTCATTAAATACTTACACAATACTATTACATACTGTGAAAGTATTTACAATTAATTTATAATTAAATGATGGATTTTGACTGAGTAAGAAAGTTAAGTTTTCTAAATACAAAACCTTTCTCCTTATAGTGTCTATATAACTACCTTAACTTTGTGTGAATTATGACTTTGAACATTCACACAGGGAATTGCTTCACAAGATAACTACATCACAGTATATATAGTTTCCTTAGGATTTTTGTCTTCTATTTTTCCCATGATGATTAAGAACAGCTCTAAAATAGTATTTATTGTTTTCAGAAACAAAATTTTGATTTGCATGGACTACTCAGGTTTAATATAAAGTTGTTACTTTTATCATAAAAGTTACGGTATATATACACAACTTAGATATTCTTAAGAATGTGATAAGAGATAAAGTTATGTGTGAGGTAAGAATACATGTGTGTGTAGGTTCACATAAATGTGCGTGTGCACGTATATAAATCATAGAAATTTTGGCTATCATTCTTTAGGTTTTGACTCTGAAGGCAGGCGAGGCTGGCTGGCCAGTGAGAGATCCTACTATGTCAGGCTATTTGTTTTTAACATAGGATTTGGTTATAAACCTCGGATCCTTGCGATTACATGGCAAACCTTTACAGAATGAGCTACCTCCCCAGGATTACATGGCACACCTTTTAATTAAGAGCACTGCTTTTAGAAACAGCTTTTACCTTCTTTTGGGTTCTCGTGACACTGGATGCTCATGACCCACACTTCGCATTCTAGTGTTCTCTAGATTGTGTGGCCGTCCAGTAGGCTTGTACTTCAAAACTTCATTTTGCCACTCATCATCAAAAGCATGAGCATCGCCTATATGAAAGGACAAGTATTTAGGTTTCTATGCCAGCTTGGCCGTGGGTTACCACACACCGCGCAGTCTAACGTTCTGAAAGAGGGGGGTGCTTCTGCAGTGTCTCCCTTGTTTGTTTCTCCCCTATCGATGATCTGGCTATGGTAGTATGGGCTTTCACTTAGCTCCTGGATTATCCTCTTACTCAGTGGACTGGACGATCAAGTACACGCATTTCTGAACTTGGGGATCATCTCATCATGGGAGTGCTGCTCCCCATGGTCGTGGCCAGCCCCTTCAGTCTTTGCATCTCTCCTCACCTCTTCACGTTCCTGACTTGACTTCTCAAGCTTGCCAGTTCCCTAACACTATCAATTATGTTGTCATCAAGTAGGTAAACTAATTTCTATAAGAACACACAGATGATTGTTCTTGTTCTTTTACATTGTCTTTACAAAATATCCTAAACTTAACTTTCCCATATATTGATTTTTATAAAATACTCAGTTACATATGTACATACATATATGTGTATGTTATTTATTTTTTAATTTCTATGTATATATGTGTGTCCATGTGTGGGTATGAGGATGTAAATGCTGGTGGCCTTGGAGATCAGAAGCATATCTTTGGAACTGTAGTTACATGTACTTGTGGGTCACCTGATGATGTAACCCACATGGGTTGTCCCTGGCACCCTGCCTAGGGCTGATGAGGGAACAAAGAAATGACAAGGAACACGCATACAGAGATGCCGGGGTCAGGTAGGCTGCCAGCACTCTGTTGGAGCAGCACCAACTACTCCCGAACAATAACCTGAAGCCTGTGTTTTTACTGAGCAGCATAGTTGGGAGGGTTAGCTAGGCTCCACAGGTCGTCTCTGTAGACCAGCAGTCAAAATCTGTAACAACAGCCAGGAGGAGGAAATTGAAGCTTCCAGTTTTTGTATACAACGATCAATCTCCGTAAATGTTCACACTTGGACTAGAGGAACAAGACTGCCAATTCCTAGGCTGACCTACTGGAGAATGCCTTTACCAATTTCTCATGGGTCTGAGGCTATGGTCCTTGTGTGGCCGTCCCCACATCAATGATATACATTCCTTTAGGACTTCACTGACACAGGGCTTCCTCTGCTCCCTACATCCTGACAGTAAGAACTGAACTCGGGTGCTCTTAACCACTACTCCGTCTCTCTGGGCATCTCAGTTATACACCTTAATGATAAGATCATGATGATTACAGCTACTATTTGGCTTCCATCTTACTGTGTTAAGAGTGATCTCTCTCCTACCATGTAGGCACCTGGAGTTAAACTTGAGGTAGGTTAAGTAATAAGTGCATTTTCTTATCCCCTGAATAGTATCACCAGCCCAAGTAGTCACTTTTATCTAAAATAATTTCTTTTCTGAAATGATACACATTTAAATTCTTTATTATGATAAAATATTATTCAAAGAATTTTCTAAAAATATGAGGTAAATGTGACATTGCAATATAATTCAATTTTAATGAAAGCATAAAAGCTTGATTACTAATATTTAGACAAAATAAGTAACTTGTCAATTAATAGTAATTTTAATGTAATTTAAAATATAATAAGAAAAGGTAAGTAGAAGAGCTTAATGTACTGAAGAATATAAAAATCTAGAAAAGAAAGATTTGCTTGTATGTTATATATTAGAAATCAAAATATACTAGAAATTAAAATTACCTATACAAACTATAAAATCTTTTAAGTTATGAGACATTCACAAAACTTTTAGGTAACAGAATATTTTTGAAAAATAATAGGTGTGTATAGCTATAATGGTGGAATAAATTGAGCACAGTATGAAGAAAATAGCAAAATATCAAGTTGGAAAATATATTTATATATACATAAAACTAAGAAATTAGTCAAAACCTGGATGGTATTTTGGAATTGAAGTTATGACTGATTTTTATTTATTCCTTTAAGCTTCTTGATAATCACAAAGTAAACTCATTTTGCCTTTAGTTAGATAATATTACTAAGAAAGAACTCCAAATCTTTCATCCTATCACTTAAAAGAAAACTGAACAACGCCTCACAAAGTCAAAGTAAGATGTGTTAGGAGACAGAACCACAATTGAATACTCTGACCAACACTTCCTGCACGTTCCTTATCCTAATAAAAATCCATGAGGTTCTAGGAATGCAGCTACTATTTTACCTTTTGAAAAATAAATTTTGTGTGCTAACTTACTTTCATTTATATTGATGAACTCTTGATTGACCTCTTCATCTCCCGTCTTGTTATTCTTTGACTTTTTAATGACATGAGCTCGGTCATGGATATGATGACCAACAGCCATTTTCTCTAGACCGCTGTCAGAATCTCTTATCGCTCTTCTGGTTTCTTTTATCTTGAAAAATAAGGTAAAAGTTATTTAGCTAGTATTTAATCCTAATGAATGGATTTAATTCTACATTCTTCAGGCTCTGTTTATTGAAGTAAGGCCGCAGATTTGCTGCTGCCAAGTCCATTATTCTGTACAATTAATAAAATGATTAACTGTACCCAGCTCCATTATCAACTTGGCGTGGTAATAAAGATAATATTTAACTGTTTACAATTTTAACATTTTCCAAGTTGTAAAAATAATAAATTGTTAACACTGTCTCTGACGATGCAATGGATGGAAGCTGATAAGTGCAGCCACTCCTCCAATGAGCGTGGAGGGCTGGAGTCTTAGGACCACACCTACCAACATACAGAGTGTACTAGAGTGCATATGCTAGCCAGTGATTGTTAGCGTGATTTCCACATGACATCTATAACTACACAGTTTACATCAAGACTTCACTGTGTTCAGCAAAGTAAAACACTAGAAAATTTGCTAAACGATGCAAAGGTATCACTAATAGGTGTGTTTACACATCAGAACTAAAAATGAATTACTTTACATTCATTATTCTGTTAATCTAAAATCTTACCACAACCTACAAGGCAATGGAGAAATGGGAATTTTTATGTCACTGTTTGTAGAAGCCAAGAATTTTCATCACTATGTGTTAGTAAGTTGGTAACTTTAATTTTTTTTTTGTTGTTTGTTTTTTTTTGTTTTTCGAGACAGGGTTTCTCTGTGGTTTTGGAGCCTGTCCTGGAACTAGCTCTTGTAGACCAGGCTGGGGTAACTTTAATTTTTAAAGGTGAGGGGCTATGCACACCCTAAAAGCCCAGAGATACTATCCTAAGATTCCTTTACATGGGTGCTACACAGTAGTTAACAAGAAAAAAGTTAGGTATGGTGGGCCACTCAGGAGGCAGAGGCAGGTGGAGCTCTACAAGTTCAAGGCCAGGCTAGGATGCACATTGAGTTCCAAGCCAGCCAGAGCTGGATTAAGACCTTGCCTCAAAACCAACAAAACCAGAAATTAAAATAAAAAATAAAGAAACCTGGGTTACAGGTGCAACTTGAATAAATTTCTGAAACAGGCTGCTGAGCAATGGCAAGTTTTGGAGGACACAAACAATGATACTATTTGTGCAAAGTTTAAAAACCTATAGAATAAATAAAAATATACAAGTATGATAAGCTCCAGATATAGGAAATGGTTGTCTCCTGAGACACGAAAAGTGATCTTAGAAGAATTATATGTTACAATCATCCTCAAAAAATAAAGAATTATCTTAAAAGAAAAAGGAAACTGCTGATTTAATTAATCTATGTGGCAGGAATATGGGTTTATTATACAACCTTTCTGTACACTTTAACATTTTAATTTTTTTGGTTTTTCGAGACAATGTTTCTCTGTAACTTTGGGGCCTGTCCTGGAACTAGCTCTTGTAGGCCACATTGGCCTCAAACTCACAGAGATCCGCCTGCCTCTGCCTCCCGAATGCTGGGATTAAAGGCATGCGCCACCACCCGGCAACACTTTAAGTTTTAACTTCATATATAAACTCTAAGTAGACATTTCATGAAACAAAGGTTTCTTTTAGTGTCTATCTTATCAATGCACAAACGTAGTAAGCATCAACAGATATTTATGTGACGGTAAACCTCAACTTCCACCAGCTACCCACAGCAGGACGGTTTCCATTGAGAGACGCTCAGAGCCAGGCATGGTAGTTTATAGAGACGGAGGCAGGGCTGCTCCATGTTTGAGGGCAGCTGGGACTACACAGTAAGACTTGGTCTAAAACCAGCAGTAATAAAACTCACTCCTCCTGGAGCCCTCCTGGTTTGAGATGAGGCCTGGAACACCTTCGGTGGTTCATCTCCTACTTTGGAATAGGTCATGACAGAGGAAGAACAAAACGAATGCCCATTCGGATCCATTGAGAGCTGACCCTAGAGACACAGGCAATGCGAATTAAGATTCTAGTTAAACATAAAGAATGAATGCCAAGAGTTGAAATAATCAATACTATTAGCTATAGAGTTGTTCAAAATGGAATTAGGTGCCCTAATCTACTGCGATTTTAATGCTAATTTCTATTTCTTGTATAAAGAATAACAAATGATTCAAATACCAGTTTGTGTGGCTTAGATTTAGATAAAGAAGATACACTCCTTAGGCAGAGGCCATCTCTTGTAATGTCCTGCCAATCAAGATCAAGTCAACTAGGAATGTACCAGGAACTGTCACACTTTCTTTGGGTACCAGATTGATATATTCCTAAAACCATTGCTAATACCCTAGATTTTAGCATTCTTAAATGATCCATAGAATTCAAATTGAATATTGAAATGATACAGGTCACCTTCAGATCAAACCAAGTTACTTGTTTTGATGCTAATATTATAAGCACAAAAGTAGCCGTATTAGTGTTCATTTATAATACTTAGACTGTATAGAGCTAATCTAACATCCAAAACATTTCTGTTTTCAGAGATTTTTTTTTTAAATATTGAAACGTAGTTACTAACATGTAATGCAGCTTTGGAAGTAAATAGGTAACAATAAAACATGCAAATTTATAGAAAGTGTTCCTTTACAATAGCAACTCATAATATTTTTGTAAGCCAACCAATGTGACTTATCAGACCTATAGGTTGTAAATAAATTAATGAGATATAATTATAATTTTTTAATTGAGTAAGAGAAAATATATGCAAGCTGTTATTATAATTATAATATTCTAATATAATCACTTAAACTTTTGTTTCAGGAATCAATTACCTAAGAATCGTATATGGGTTAATCATGCAATTTATTAAGTAATAATGTTAATTATTACATGTACTACTCATGTAATATTGTTTATGGGTTAGCCATGTAATCACTTCTTTTGCCATGCTAAGTGTGGTTAAAGATGTTTGAAAATAGTGTTCTCATCAGTCTGTTTTCAGTACTTACAAAGTTTCTTTGTAACTCCTGCATACTGTTTCGCATATTTAACATCATCCGATCCATTGTCTGAAAAGGGTTGACATCTGCATGCTACAGGATATAAGGAAGTATGTTATTAACTACAACACCAACGCATATAAATCTTCCCAAACCAGTTAAAAAGCATTCCCCAATTTACTGTATCATGCAGTAACCAACTAGGCAAAAATAATTTAAGGACTACACATTTAGAGTGATTTGCTAAAGAAAAAGGACCAGATGCAAAAATCATAAACAGACAACATAAATTAGGGAGTTAGAAAACTGCAAATATATACACACATTATACGCCTAGATACACACACACACACACACACACACACACACATATACACAAATGTTTGTATATACACTTATACATAGTCAGCTTTCTTAAGCCAGAGTCCTCCTTTCTCCTCCATGCTTTTTTATCTTCTTACTAACCCTTAAGGCTCAGTCTTCTCTAGGGAAGATGGCTCAGACAGCGCATACTCTCTTGGGTAGGGCCTGAGCTCAGTTCCTAGCAGTCAAGCAGTTCACTATTGCCTGTAATTCTAACTCCAGCTACCAAGTACCTGACACTCTTTTTGGCCCCTTTGGGCTCTGTACAAATGTGTATAAATCCCCACACATAAATACTCTATTTTTTAAATTCACCTCTAACTGATCTCCACCAGTACACTCCAAAGCTTTGCGCTGTGGTCTTGTGTTTCCCGTGTGCTACCACGGTGCCCACCTCCTCACCATTTTACTAGTGTTTGTGATACTCTGCTTTCCTCTGTAATCAGGTCCTCAGAAAGGACAAGTATTCATCTCAAACTTCAGAGACTCAAATAACTTAAATTTAGTGCAAAATAATGAAAATAACCTTTTCATGAAAATATAGCTACAAACAGTCTAAGTTAATTATGTTCCAATCCTTGGATTCCTTGCTGGCATTAGAAACTAGTAAACTAGTCAAACAGGCTGGCAGGTCTGCTATAGAATATCCATACTTGTAAAGGCAGCAAGAAAAACCTGACGTTAGAGAGAAAGCGGCCAATCTGAGTGCTCCCAAACATCATAATTTGTCACCTTGTGAAAAGTCATCACAGGTATGTGGAAGTCCATCTTTGAAACACAATTATCAAGTTTCTTTGAACAGCACGTGAATGTTCCCTCAAAATCTACTTTTCCATTTCTGAAGACTAATTTTACATTTTGATTGATTTACTGTAACCATCTTGATCTCAACCTGTGGGGTCACAACCTCTTTGGCAAACTATCTCCAAAAATATTTACATTATAATTCATAGCAGTAGCAAAATTACAATCATGAAGTAGCAAGAAAAGCAATTTTATGGTTGGGGAGGCCACCACAATGTAAGGAACTGTATTATATGGTTACAGCATTAGGAAAGTTGAAAACCAAAGATCTTGACAGAAATGAAGACATTCTAAAAACCTATTTTTGCCTCTATCAGACTATTGGCTATCAGACTATTGAAATAATCCCCTAGAAACTGGATTTTCCTCAGGAATGTCACGGTAGGAAAACAAAAAGGCTGAAGCCTGGTATTATCTCAGGAAGAGATTTCAGAGTTATTTCAACATGTTGGGTGCTTTGCAGGAGAGACTGGAGCTGAGTCAACGATGGGTCAGTGATGGCTGGGAGCACACAGTGACTAGGACTGCTTACTTAATCTGTACATCTTCCCTCTATACCAAAGTCTCACGTCAAGACCCTGCAGATGGACTCAGGAAGGCTCTGGACCTTAGGTCTCCCCAGAGTGGCAACACTGAACACATCTCTTTTTCGCTTTTCACTATTACTTGTCTGTTTAACTGGCTTATTGATGATCAGTGGGTAAGTCTGGCTTGTTAGTGCGGTCAGGCTCAGGCCCTGGTCCTAACAACTCTGGTAATTACTTTAGAAAAGCCATGTCTATGCCCTCTTGGGTAAATTTAATACATGCAACAAAGGTTGCCAGTACAAAGCTTAAAAGCCATTATGGAAGTTAGTGAGATGCATGCAAACTCATTCTGCTTGAGTTAATAAAAATATGTTAAAAATATAGCGAAAATAATTTCTGCCTAATGACACGAACCATACCACCAAGCCTTCCAAAAGGCACAAGAGAAAAACTTGTTGCCTAGAAAAAAAATACACAATAAATTCTGGTTGCCTTTATTATATGGGCACACCTGAAATATAAAAATGCACTGTAGAGCCATGCAGCTCAGGGCTCCAGTCATTCCAGGGCTTTTTAGTTAAAGATGCTCAGTGAGCTTTTAGATGCTCTGTATACTGAAGCATCTGCCTGGACAGCTAACAGACACCACAGCATGACTGAAAATAGGGCCATTTCAGTAAGGTAATGAAGAGAAGGTCTTTGCTATAGACTAACACCAACATCAAATACAACGACTAAGATCAAAGCATTTGCTAATGCCATTGCTATTTCTATTCCATATCTTTTAAGATCCACTACTCCTGCTAAAACTAATTAAAACAAGACATTTAATCACATTATTAACATTACCAAATGAGTAAACAGATAAAAATGTATGCTTCCTAAAGATCAGTTTAAGGGATAAGAAATTAGCATAGGTTTCAGAATCGGCAGGCAAAGCAAGTTAAATAGAAAAGATGGAATAATCAAACAGTTCACACAACTCCCAACATGTAGAAAAGAATACATTTTTATGGGAATAAAGGGATGGGGCTGGTGAGATGTCTCAGTGGCTGAAGGCTCTTGGAACCAAGCCTGCTGACTGAGTTTGGTCTCCAGGACCCACACCAGAAAAACAGACCTGACTTCCCCAAGACTTCTCTGACCTCCACATGGGCTCACTCCCTCAAGTGCAATTAACTTTGTTTTAAGTTAAAAATATTGACTGCTTGAAGGAGTCTAAGTAAAACTTGGTTTTTCTGAGTTAAAGTGTAGAGCTACAAGGTGGGTAAATTATACAGACCCCAGATCTTGCCATTCAGGTAGGGGGGTGAGGCAGGAAGTCAGCCTGTACCAGAGAGTGAGCTCCATGCCATCCTAAACTACATAGCAAGGCTCTGTCGCCTAAAAGGAGACTATGTATAGGCATACGAGACAAACAATGTTTTACTATTTTTTTTTTTTTGGTTTTTTGAGACAGTGTTTCTCTGTGTAACCTTAGCTCTCCTGGAACTTGTTTTGTAGATCAGGTTGGCCTCAAATTCACAGAGCTCTGCCTGCCTCTGCCTCCTGAGTGATGGGATTAAAGATGTGTGCCACTACACCCAGCTAAGTTTTACCATTTTAAAGTCAGTATTACTATAGGCAAGAGAATAATTACAAAATTATGTTTATTTAGAACAGAATCATGTTGGATGCACCAATAAAATTTTTACTTCTATTTCTTTGTACTGAAAGGACTAGATGCCCTCTGGCATATCACCTAGTTATAAGGAAACTAACAAGTTTAAATATTAAATTTAGTTTTTATACTTGCTTTTTTGGGGACAGTATCCTAGTTAGGGTTATTACCACTGTGACGAAACACCATAACCACAGCAACTTGGGGAGGAAAGGGCGGATTTGACTTAGGCTTCCGATCCACTGCTCATCATCACATGAAGTCAGAACAAGAATTTAAGCAGGATCCGGAGGTACAAGCTGATGAAGAGGCCATGGAGGGGTGCTGTTTGCTGGCTTGCACTGTATGCTGTTCTTAAGTTATTCAATCTAAAGAGTTTTATTATAGCAGCCCAACTATACATGAAAATAAGAGACCAGTCATTTTTAAATTTTCATTTAAATGTTGGTCTTGAACTTTCTTTATATTCTGAATTATCCTCTTAACTTGACTTTCCTATTTAATCATGATATCGATTAATTACATTTCTTCTATGTGTTTTCCTCTCAATTTAAAGAAACTTTAGTGAGACAAATATAATTTTGAAGAATACTTAGATGCAAATAGTTCTAAACCATGCATCTTACCAACTACAGCTGCACAGAAATGAATCTCTTTATTTGGTTATGTATTCCTCATTCCAGTTTTTTCTTAAACATTCAGCATTTTTTAGTAAAAGTGTGGAAGAGACAGTTACTTCTACTCCAACGGGTATTCAATAGAGTTACTGCTGATTTGTATAAATGCCTTCAATACGTCTCCAGCTGAATTATAAGTAGGTCTCATTTATATGCTTACAAGTAAGGTAACAAAATTACCTTTTCTTGCTACCTTCGTGAAAGCTCATAAGTAGCTCATTTATCCAAAAAATGCATGTTTGCTATGGTTATAGCAAATACAAAACTATTTTAATATTCAAATGATTTTCAACATTCGTAATTAATGTGCTCTTGCACTGTTGATTTTCCTGGCATTACATTTTAGCTTTAAAAATGGATTAAACTAAAAATTATATGTGTCTCATCATGTAACATTAATTTATAATATTATAGATATAGCATCCATAAATGACACTATTTACTAATGAAAAGTAAGTATGACTGGGTAAAGCTTACTTATTTGAAAGGCACAGGCAATTTTATTTATCAGGTTTTATGATGAGCCAAACTATTTTGCTCTCATTAAGCTTATTGTGAAGAAAACATGAAAAATGTTTTTCTAGAGTAGTCTAGAATTCTGTGGATTGATGAGTCATATGTCTGCTGAATTCTAAATATCTACATTTCAATTGTGAAGATTCATTTTTATGGAAATGCCAGAAAGAGGAGGTGAGCCCCACAATGGTTAACATACATGTGTAAACTTTGCCTTCTGTTTGTGCCCTCCCAGTTTGGCTCTCAGATAATCCTGCTGAGAACATGCAGTTACACAAGTCTTCTGAAGTCAAGGCTAATAAGTTCTCAATGTCCAATGTGTCCCAACCAGAGCTTAGTGATGCAATAAAGATAGAACACCACACTAGATTTTGTTGCTATTTAAAATATGAAGTGTGTGGTTCTAGGAGTTCCTGCTGGCTCTAATTCAGCATAGGGGAGGAAGTTCTCAGAGGGGAAATTTGCAAGAAACAATGGCCTAGTATTGCTTATAATTGTACAACCTGTGGTCCTCAAGTTTTAATAGCACAGATTAATTCTGTACCATTAACAATTCATTGTTCCCAGTTTTAGCTTTTCAACATGTGTCCTCGTTTATGTAACAAATATTTCCACAATAGAAGTATTAGTTATACCCTATCATTGTACGTATGTAAATTCTATATTTTTTTATCATATTTATACAGAACTTTCTTGCTTGCTGTCTTTAACTTACAGTTAAGGAATCTTCACCATCATTATCTCTATGATTGTGTGTTCTTCCTCTACCATCAGATACACTGAGCAAGTTTCTTCCAAAAGGTTCAGAGAAACTTCTCATCATGTCGCGCATACTTTCTCGGTGTGAAAGAAAGGAATCACTGTTGAGAATACAGAATAATGAAAAATTAATGTTACAATTTAAGAAAAACTGGCATATAGATACTACAAAGAATCTTGGGAGTTAATGTAATTGTTGAGGTAACAAAATATTACAATTTAGAAGAGCATTATTTAATAAAAGACCTTGTATTATAAATACAATTATAAATAAATTTATAAATAAATCCTATCCCATTTGCTATCCACTATATTTATTATACTAATAAAATATACTTTCATCTCATGTTTTATAAAAATGGTAAATACAAATTACCATGTTATAAGTAGTTTACGATGAGGAAAATTGTAAAAAAAAAATCATAAAAAAATATTTCTATCTGGTAACACCACTGTGGAAAGTCTACAACATAATTCTACAGGGTTAATAAAGAATACTCTATGCTGAATACTCCATGGGTAACAAATAACCTACCAAAGTTGTCTTTTTAAATTGAATATGCAAAAATGAAAGTCTGGAAAAGAACTCTCCTGAAATATAATAATACTGGTTGGAGCTGGAGAGATAGCTCAGTAAAGAGTACTTGTTGCTCTTCTAGAGGACTGGAGTTTGGTTCCTAGCACCCCCAGAAGACTCACAACTGTGTCTCACTATAGTTCCAGGGGATCCAACACCTTCTTCTGGCTTCTACAGGCTCCTGCACCTCTCGCCTCTCTCTCTCTCTCTCTCTCTCTCTCTCTCTCTCTCTCTCTCTCTTAACAAAAAGTAACACTGCTTATTTTTAACTTTCCTTATTGAGAGTTTGTCACTGAGAAACATAGCGATGTTTAAGAACACTATAAAAGTACAATTATCTGTATAGCCAAAGCCAAAGATACAGATAATCTTTATAAGGTTAATTTTTTTCAAGACAGGGTTTCTTTGTGTAGCCCTGGCTGTGCTAGAATTCTGTAGACCAGGTTAGCCTTGAACTCACAGATCTACCTGCTTCTGCCTCCTACGAGCTGGGGTTAAAAATGTGTGCCACCATGTCTTGCTTCTAAGACTAATTTTTATTTTTACTAATTCTAAATTTTATAATAATCAAATACCAAAATATCTCAATACCAAGCTTCAAGAAATATTGTCAAACTTCTTTCAAATTACCAACTATTAAGCTGATTAAAAAATACAGATTCCTGTTCACACCTTCCATGATGTCAAGCTGGCTAACAATACGGATTCCTGTTCACACCTACCATGATGTCAAGCTGGCTAACAATATGGATTCTTGTTCACAATTACCATGATGATCAATCATACTGGCTCTGGGTCTGATTTATGAATATGTACCCCTGGTGATTTTAACTCAACTTTTGAGGAGCAAGGTCCTCTGTGAATCTGTGGTATCTGAATTAATTATAATTTGAGCATTTCTTCTGGAGACAAGTTTTCACAACTATAAAATAAGGATAATATCAAATATTCCTGTTACCATTATCACAATATAAAACTTGAAAACACAAGATATAATATCTGATACATGACTCAGTTGAATAAATCTTCATTTCTTAGTTTCACTTCCTCTTTCATGTATGAACGTCATTCCCTATTATTCTATCACTAGATGCTTCTCAGGGAAAGAGATTAGACTTTAAAAATACATAGAAATGATAGTGTTCCAGCCCTTCTTCTATGTACTTAAGTATCAAGTTCCTTAGTATGCTAACTCTTTCACTGCAATTTTGAAAGAAAAGCCTAAAAATTTTAACACTTCAGCATCATAATAATTTTACAGTATTTTCCCAACAGAAACACACTAACCATGAGTCAACAATTTACTTTTCATTTTAGAGTATTTAAAGCTCATCATGATTGTGACTTCCTTTGCCAAGTAACCTTATGGCTCCTTGCCTTCTAACTGAACTTCCCATGACAGTGTGGCCTCCTTCCAAAATTCTCCATGTCAGCCACCATCTCTATAAATTCTCTTGGTAATTCAGTCCCAGTCCTTTGACATTTACCACAACGAAGGCCTGAAAAGCCAACATCTGCCAGTAATTTTAGACAGAAAGGGCTTCTCCATGGAATTATACAGTATTAGTTTACAATTTAGTTCTACTAGCAAGAGTTCAGATTTCTTCATACATTACTTTGGAAGTTTTAAAAAAAAAGCATGTGACTGGAATCATTGCTCAGTAGAGTGCTTGCCTAGCACATGGGGCTCTAGGCTCATCTCTAGCACTGGCTTTGTTATCATAGCAACCCTAGCTTTCACTGGACAGTATTCCTTCTGTTTTTATTTTATGGACTAGTATTTAAAGTACTGGGGTTAGCTGTTCTTTCCAGGTCCAGTAGATTCAGTAGTGCATCCACTGGGCTTGAACTGCTTTCGTTTGAAGTGTTTTTTTTTTTTTTATTGAAAAAAAATTTCCTCCTCCTCCCACTCCTTTCCCCCTCCCCCCACTCCTCTCCCCCTCCCTCTCCAGTCGGAAGAGCAGTCAGGGTTTCCTGCCCTGTGGAAAGTCCAAGGTTCTCCCCTCTCCATCCAGGTCTAGGAAGGTGAGCATCCAAACAGGCTAGGCTCCCACAAAGCCAGAACATGAAGTAGGATCAAAACTCAGTGCCATTGTCCTTGGCTTCTCATCAGCCCTCATTGTCCTCCATGATCAGAGAGTCCGGTTTTGTCCCATGCTTTTTCAGTCACAGTCCAGCTGGCCTTGGTGAGCTCCCAACAGATCAGCCCCACTGTCTCAGTGGGTGGGTACGCCCCTCACGGTTCTGTTTTTAATTGCTGCTTCAATCTTGATACTTGTTATAGATTTGTTTAAATTATCTCATCTTGGTTTATCCTCTGTATGTCATATGCATCAAGAAAATAAATTTTTATACAATTTTCTAGCTTACTGGAAATGATTATTTAAGGTACATCCTAACAATCTTTGGAATTTCATTGTTAATCTGTTGTTATGTCCCTCCTTTCATTACTAATTTCATTAATTTGTGCCTTCTATTTTCTTTGGTTAGTTTGGCTGAGGGTTTGTTGATTTTGTTTCTCGTTTTTAATCTTATCTTTTTAAAGAACTCTGATACTTTGTATTTTTTTTTTCATTTTTACATCTTAATTACTGCCATGTTACTTCTCTCCACTAATTTTGGGTTTAGATTGTTTTTATTTAAGGACCTATATAGTATATGATTAAGCTATTAGAGATCTCTTAATGTAGGCATCTGTAACTATAAACTCCCCTCTTAGGGATGCATTCATTGCATCTAGTACCAGTATGCTGGATTTTCATATTCTTTTGGTTATAGGTTCTTAAGATTGCTTTATTGATTCCTTCAATGACCCATTCATCATTCAACAGTCTGTTGTTCAATCTCTTTGAGTTTAAATATTGTACAGTTTCTCTTTCTGTTGATTTCTATTTTTATTCCGTTGTGGCCAGAGAGAAAACAAGAAATTCATGTCATATTAGAAATCTATTTTAGAGGAGGTTCCATGGGTTGCTGAGAAATGTATGTTCTGCAGATATATTGTAGAGCCACTTGATTTGAGGTCATATAACTCAGACAGTTCTCTACTTTTTGTTGAGATAATCTATTGTTGAGTGTGAGGTACTGAAATCACCCATTACTACTGTGTTGGGTTTTCTTTATGCCTAATTGTGTGTGTGTGTGTGTGTGTGTGTGTGTGTGTGTGTGTGTATGTATAAGGGTACATATATTTAGGATGGTAATGTTCTCTTCATGAATTGCTTCCTTAAAGTCTATTTTGTTACATTAGAACAGTGGTATCTGCTTGCTTCCTAGTTCCATTTGCCTGAAATACCTTTTTCCACCCTTTTATCCTTAGGTTGTGGCTGTCTTTGATGGTGAGGAACATTTCTTGAAGGCAACAAATACAAAGATTACAATGTGTTGACCTGTCTTAATTAGGGAATAAAGACCATTAATAGAGGCACGTGTTTTCTTAATCCTCATTTGCCTAACTATTGTTTCAGCACAGCCGTCCTTTCCTATAGACTGGTGTGTGTTTCTTTCTCTTCACTCTGAAAGATGAAGAAAGCTGGCTTAGTGATGATCAATTCTCTCACTAGTTTTCATTATGGGAAGCTTTCCTTTCTCCTTCCAGTATGACAGTTTTGCTGGCTACCTGGACCGACAATCTTTCAGAGCTCGAAATTCTTCATTCTAAACTTGCCTGATTTTTAGAGTTTTGCTTGAGAAACCTGCTTTTATTCTGATAAGCCTGTCTTTATGTGTGACTTGGTGTTTCTCTCACGGCTTTCTGTGCACTTTCTTTACTCTTCATTTTTAATTTCTAACTGAGTTTTTTTTCCTGGTCTCATTATTGAAAATCTAATAAATATCTCCTGCACCTGGATAAGATTTTCCCATTAGATCTGGGAAAATTTCTACTATGATTTTATGGAAAATATTTTCTATGTCTGTAGCATGAAACTCTTCTGTATCCATGATTCATAGATTTGGTCTTTTCATGGTGTCCCCTAGGTCTTATATTCTTGTATGTTATGTTTATATTTTCTTAATTTTTCCTTGTCATTGAATGTTCCAATTCAGCCACCTTCTCTTAAAGCCCTAGTATTCTGCCCTCCCCTTGGCCCATTCTATTGGTCAAGTTTTTCCTATGAGCTTTTGATTTGATTCGATGAATATTCTACTGCCACCATTACAAATTGATTTTCTTCTCAATGTCCAAATTCTATCTTCATATCTCATATTAATCTCATTTCATTCAGCTGCTAGTATTCTCTTGGAATTAATTTTAAAAGGAATAATATAGAAAAAAGGGAAAGAGAACAGAGAGAAGAAAAGTAGAACAAAGAGAAACTGTGAACAGTTATACCTGCACTGAGCATTAAATAGCGTAGGGATGAAATTGAACTGGAGACCTGGATGGGAGTAGTCTGAATATGTTTTCTTTCCTGCTTGCTGATTCCAGCTTTGACTTGAACATTCCTTCCTGGGCTCCCAATAACAAGTCACATTCCTGAGCAATGCCACTGGCACTTTCCCTCCAAGGGAGGAGACAGCACC